AGATAAAAATGAGAATCTTACTATTTATTCTATTAGATAGATTTCGAAGCAAATTTTATCTCAATCTGAAAGAAAGTAACATCATATAAAATAAATAAAAAAAATAAACAAAAATCAAGAAGTAAGAGTTATGCTTACAGAGTGATGAAAACTTGCTATGAAAACTACAATATTATTGACAAAAAATGTCTAGATTGCGGTGGTGCTAAATTCGTGATTTTTTAGGCAAAATTATAATGTATTTCCCCGCCTCGCTGTTTCCCTAATGAGACTAATTTAAATATAAAACATTCCTTTTTACACTTTCATGTCTAAGTTTCGATAATAATAATTTTTATAATAACGACATTAGCCATAAAATCCAAAATTTAGCATAATAAGCCATCGAACAGAAGCCTGTTGCAATTTTAAAAAAACAATGTGACTTTCAATTGAGTCATTACGTATTTCGCTAAGGCGTCAAACTGCCGTAACTTAATAGCTGTTATTAAATATTATTACACGGCGAATTGAGAATATCTGATATTTTGTAACAGTTTTGTTTACGTCATATATGTATCACAATTTTACATGTATCATACAAGAAATAAAGTAGTGCTGCTTGCGTTTTCAACTATTGATCCGTATATAGTTATATTGTGATACTTGGGAATGTTATTAGCTTTAGAAGGCATATATTGGATTTGATATGCAATAGGTCGTTTAAGTAAAATCTCAACAATATGCCATACGTTTCTTGTACGTAAAGAGGAAAGATTTATATTTTTGTATGCATTAAAATAATTCAAAAACTACTAGGCCGATTTAAAAAATTCTTTCATCGTTAGAAAGGTAATTTATCTGTGAGTAACATAAGCTATATTATTCATTCTTTTTTAAATTCACGCAGGCGAAGTCGATGTTTTTGTCAAATGTTTTCAATTTTTGCGAAATAGGACAACATGACGTCCATCGGACGTGACGTAACAGTAACATCGGTGTCCATATAAAAACATTCTGGATCGACAATAGAATCTGTTGGGCGCATTGTCCATGCCGCGGGACCATTTATCACCAACGCTCGGCTGCCGGCGCTCGAACGCAGCCCTGATCAATGCTAAAGCTAGGGTGATTTGCTGTCGGTAACCATTAAAATTTTTCATTTCGAACTCTGTGTTTGAATGTTTCAATATTACTATTTGAAACAACACACATTCTTAATATTCACTGGACAATGGCAAATCGTCCAAAATACTAGTCACCTATCATATGCCATATTTAGTAATATATACAATTTAAATAGAAGAAGATGGGTACGCTTCTATAATATTTTTTACGTCCTTTTCTCGACATAGGAATGTAAGCTCCTCTACTTTTATATTATATATGTATATTTAAGAAATATTTAAAAGCTATTCATGAAAAATAAATACTAACACAAGCATCTGGACTCATATACCTTGACTAGCTTAACATATACATAGGTATAGTTATCTTGTAAAATAAGCACATGAATTTAAAACGTAATCAAATATACAAGCGTTATCATTAAACAAAGAGGAATAGAAATTACATTCACCTATCAAACGGACACTTTATAATGGAGAATGTTCATATAAACTGCCACTGTAACCAGCATACCTCATTATTTAATGCATTGAATGCAAGTAATGAAGTCTACGTAACTTAAAATAATTGCGTTCAAATTTATGACCGTTGATAACGTCTCACTTTGATCGCATACGATCAAAGGGGCCGTGTAAAAGCATCTGTACCTCGCGTATTTACATTACGATAACACGGAAATAGTTCATACAGTATTTATTGCTTTTTATAAACCATTAAATTAAATTTAATTGTTGATTAAGTATGCAAATTAAAGATACATGCATTATCGTCAAAGCTGAACAAGCAGGTTGATTTGCAACCATGTCTTATTTAATAAATTTATTAAAAGATTTCAAACGAAAATGATATAAACTTAAAAGTTTAAGTTAGTTAGGTTAAAGTATAACACACTAGCACAATAAAACAAATGTGCGCCCAATGTGTAGTTCCAGGCTTTGTTAGATCCGTTGGGCTGTTCTGATTCGTAGTGATTAAACATCCATCCATCCATCTAAACTTTCGCATTTACAATATTAGTAAGATATAAGAAAGTAAGTAATATTTGTACCTAATTAATATAATCATACAAATATTTTCTAGTTTTCTCTACACCTTATATCCAAAACTAAATTTGGTTCCTTTAAAGGCAAATAACGTATTCAAATATCCATTAGAAGGTTTCTTTTGATCCAGCATCAATGAGCTCTGGCTCGTTCGACGTCGGGATTAATTAGAGCTGCCATTCACTGGCTATTCAGAGTGCCTCGAGCCAGCGAACGGACCGACAAACTTGCACAGAATGTATTATCCTTGATCCATTATACCATATTATTCAAATCAGCTCTGACGATTAGCTTACCTTAGCACTAGACTGAATTGGTCCATAATTATTCGATACCTGCTCCCTTCAACTGTTTTGATATAATCTGAGGAATTTAATTACACATTTATTTCAATTAGCTAAGATCTAAGGTATATTTACAGTAGCGATGACACAAATTTCAAATTAAATAACATTCTAAAGTCAATAAACCATAACAATTATACCAACATTAAAAAAATTGGAGATGTGCCACAAAACATATATTAATTATGCATATCATTAATATATGTTATATTTTAAACATATATTATTAAAGTAAAGCTTTCTTAAAGGATGGTTATTTTATAAATTCTATTTTAATATAGTTCCGAAACTTTCGAAATCAATAACATAACATCTAATTCCAAACTTTTAATAAACAGATTTACTTACTTGTTTTTAGTATTAGAAATATTACACTAATGATATAAACGAATCTTCACATTTTATACAAAACAAATTTAATTATTTACCTCCATATTGCTTAAATATCACTATAATACTTAAAATAAACAAAATACAAACCACACACAATCAGCCATTTTGTTAAAATGCTCTTCGCGCATGCGTTGCCCATCTCGCCCTTGAAAAAGGGGATTGAATGGATGTCCTTTTCTGACCTATGAAAATATACTATTGCCATTTCTTTCCTAAGCTATTGTTGTTGTCAATTCAAAAGCAAAGGGTCGGATTTCAAATATTAGGGCAGCGTACGCTCTGAACTTGGTTGCAATTTTCGCAAATATTTGTGCGTACTTCACTCGTGTGAACATTTAAAGCACCAAGTTGTATCAAGTTATCTAAGGAAATTCTAAAAAGAATAAAAATACGACAAGAATAAAATTTTGCATTAATTTTAATTAATTACAAAATATCTGCGATTACCAAACTTTTTGACAAAACCATATATAATTGTATTGAAAATTTTAATTCATATTTAAATGCGCATATTACTTTGTATATTTCATTGCTTATTTTCATTTTGTAAATTATAACAAGAAACTACTTAGTGCGGATAATTTAATCATCTAATTAAAACAACATCCTTTAATTTATTAAAACTTTTTATGACATATAACAAGTACTAAAGTTAGTCTAACCGTCTTTACTAATTACTAGAAAATGTGTCCAAAAATTAAATAAATAAACTTCAGTAAGTAGGCTCAGTAATAACAAACCAACATCTCTTAGGAAATTGCCGACTATAAATCATAATACTTTCAATACCGGTAGCGTTAAAGTCAGGTAGTAATGATAACAGGATTACGAAGCGAAATCCCTTAAACTTCAAAACAAATCCCAACATCTAGTCATAACATGTCAAAGTCGCCGAAAATATTTGCTCATTTAAATGGTCCCGAGAGAGCAATGAACTTGCAGTATTTAACAAACGGTCTTTGTACTATCAGTCCCTGGAAAGGGTTTAATCGGTATTTAAAAATTGAACAATGCTTCTTTGAAGTCCACTGCGCAGTTTTAACAGGATTATTGCGAAGTGCCTTCTTTGCGAATTGTTTTAAAGATAAAAGTAGGCACAAAACAACCTTTGTCGCATCAGTAGTGAACGTTACAATTTTCACTTCTCAAACTCAAGCTTTTTTCGGCTTTTGCTAAAAGATGGTGGCTATCTGCTGAGGTCGATTTTGCGGCCAAGTACATAAATTTTGTGTCAAATATTATGTTTTTGTCAAATTATTTGATATGTTGACAATGTTTCATGGATGTTTTAAGAGAAATAACAGAAAAACCCCAAAAAATCGTATACCAAAAGCATAAAATAACAAATAATGTTTTAAAAAAGTAAACAATCATTTAAATTTAATGTTACTAAAAATGGATATGGTATAAATAAAAAAGAATGTTTAGTTTTAAATAATCAGGAATCAAAACTCCTCTTTATTGATAGCGCCTTTGTAATTGACTAGAGAAGTACATATCAATCATAAATAATCAATCTTATAAATACACAAAAACTGTACTATGTAAATAGGAACTTTTTTCTTACATCGCTATATTTACATAAACTTAGGTACACATTCATACGATGAATTTCGTCAAAAAGAAGTTAAGTGGCCGTTATTTAATTCACTAATTAGTTTAGTTAAACAATCACTCAGCCTAGATTTCTCTCATAAAATAAAATATTAGAACAGTGCTAAAGTGTCATTAAAATAGAAAATTACAAATAAAGTCAGTGGAAATACAATTATAGGAAATCAATTTACAATAGAATCATTTTTAATAAAAATACAAACCGCTTACAATCAGTCATTTTGATATGTTATAAGAACGTCTTTAAGAATCATTTTTATATTGATTTTAAACCTAGACAAATGTTTCACAGTTTAAAGCTTCTATCAATTAAGTTTTTGGAATATGCATATACTCGTACATATCTGTCTATGTTGATTAAAAAAAAAACTCCTTACATGAGAAATAAAATACAAATATTTACACTTTTGAAAGCTATTACTAATTAAATCTAATTAAAATAAAGACATAATTTAAAAATCAACTAATTGTATCAAGCCCTAACCTGATACGTAAAAGGTCACATGTTTTGAATTAAGCCATCTGCGTAGTTCGGAATCATACAGTTTTGTGGTATACCTGGATTATGATTTAAATTTGGAGATGCGTTATTTAAATGATAATTCGTATAGGCTCCTAAGTTAGACATCTGTTGCCTTGTATCCATGTATTCCGAAATGTTTCCTACCTTGGGTAGGTTATCGTCAATAACATACGGATCAGGAGAGGTCGACAACTTTCCGTCTTTCTTTGCCTTCATTCTACGGTTTTGAAACCATATTTTAATTTGCCTTTCAGTAAGGCCAAGTGCGTGGGAAACTTCTATACGCCTTCTTCTTGATAGATACTTATTGAAGTGGAACTCCTTTTCCAATTCTAATGTTTGATAACGGGTGTAAGTCTGCCTCGTACGTTTTGATCCTTCCTTCTTGTCGTCACCTAAAAATCAAAAATATTTTTAATTAATACTTATTAATTTTTCGTTTACTTTAGTATTTTAATTTAAGGTTCGGGAGTAGGTTGGTTACCTCCGGTACTCTTCATCCATGGATAGAAAGCTTGTACATCTGGAACAGCGGCCATTTTGTTCTCGCCGTAATCCACATTGTCCCCGCCTGCACTGACCCTCGTCACGTCCTGACAGCTCTCGTCGGTACCTAGTGATGATGGCGTGCTCTCCTTTGCAATAGGCGCCTCAATATTGGCGTCTATCCTCTTGCTTTTTGTTTGATCTTCAGATTTAAATTCACCGTGAAATTGAAGCAAATTTCGATCAGTTTCTTGCATCTTTGTTTTTGCCCAATCATTAACGTCAGTCACGCGGTATCTTTGCGCGGCCTCTTGTGTATACGTTTTGTCATATTTGGCATAATAGGGCGAAATCTTACGGTCATGTGATTTCGTTAGTAATGCCCTTAAATTAGGCGAATCTTCTTCATCTGGGTTTGTTAATTTATTTACGCTCGACGTACTATGTGGCGATCCATAACTGTTTTCGGACACACTACATTGACCAGGAGAATTCAGCGACCGTACGTCGTCACTTTTAGCTTCGTAGCATGTGTTAGATGCAATATTTCGTTGATCGAATCCATTATGTTGCGAATAATAATTCAATTCTCGCCATTTATTTACCATATCCAAATTCATTTGATTGCCATAGTCTGGATAGTTATGCCAATGTATCGGTTCGGATTTTACGACACTATTTGGAGAATTATGATAGTTTTTATTCATTACATCAGAAGGTACATGAGGATACTCACTGTTTTGCTGATAGAAGTTATTTTGATAATGTGTAAAGCCGTTCGGGGGTGTCGGATATTGATAAGCATGGTTAGGATTCGCTTGGCGTACACTTTGTGAGTAGAGATCAGCACTGTTGGTCCACATATCACTTGCACGATTACCAGCCGCCACTGATGACATTACTTATGTTATTTCAAACTTATTCACTATCACTTTTCTACTCTAGGTCACAGACTATTAGCACTAACACTAGCCAGTGTGGGAGGTGTTCCGAATGCTGTGTTGACTGCGAAACGAATGCAGTAAGTGTCAGCGGGCGGCAAGACCCTACAATTGTAATAATTTTATATGACCTAAAAAAAAGTTTGGGGTACTTTCAACAATAGCGTCGCCATTGTCCCTTTGCGAAGTTGTTAAACCAGCTTTTCTGTCTCTGTCTAACGCTCTCTTCGTTTGTTTAAATAGTCATGAGGAAAAGAGACAGCAATTATTTAGGGGAATATATTGCAAATGTCCTATAAATGTTTACAATGCCAATATTTCCAATACATTTCTATGTGTGCGTCTGTGTGAGTAAATCATTGATTGATTTGTCGTAGTGTGAGTGTGAGAGGGTGGTATAGATTGATTTTATTCTATTATTGGTTTAGTGTAAAGCCGCGTATGTGTGTCACTGTGTTGCAGTTGCAAGATATATAGGATGTTTATAATTTCTCAATGACTATGAATCAAATAGTAAACTTGTATGTTTTAATTGAATTACATTTTTAGCCTCTTTTCACAATACAATAAACATATTTTTATGACGTAAAACGATTAATATTTTTTTTGCTATAACTTAAAATTTAGAATAAATTGCAAATCTATTTATTTTATTAATACAAAAAGTTGCAATGTTAACATTTACTCTAATAATACTTTTCTTTCTCTTCCTTCATTTTTTACGCATTATTAATTATAAGACACTGTTGCTAACGACTTTGTCCGCGTAAAAATAAAAAACTAATTATTAACATTCTATGATTCTATGTAATCAGTGAATACATTGCTTTTTAATGATGTAAGAATTTTTTAAATCGACCCAGTAGTTTTTGTGTTATTTTAATACATACAAAAATACAAATCTTTCCTCTTTATAATATTAGTATTCGAATTTGTATCATCCTGTAGAACACGATCCGTGTAAGGCACATAACTCACGCTGTAACAGTTCAATCGGAGGACAATGCGAGGCTGCGCGTGCGCCGCCCGCTTGCAACTGTGCACGCGAATGTGCTCTAATAGAAGCAGGCAAAAAATGCCCATTAATTAATTATTTATTTAAACGATTTTCATAGTCATTATTAGTAAAATTATGAATAAAAATACATGTATGATATTGGATAACCTAGTATTTTTTACTATTTTAGACAGAAATTACGCTAATGTTAAAATTACTTTTTCTATCATGTTTGAGTTTCGTGAGTCGATGATAATTATCTTTAAAAAATTTTTGAAAACGTCTTTGCCAGTTATTCTTATACTTATTATTATAAGCCTTCAAGTTATAATAAAACATGAGGTAACTTGTACAATTTTTGAGGATTTATTAAGTTACAATACAAGTGATTGTTCACAATTTAATGTTAAATCTTATAAATGCGAAAGTTTAGATGGATGGATGGATGTTTGTTGGAGTAAAACGGTTATTAAACGGTTAGTTTAAACGGTTGAACAGATCTTGATAAAATTTGGCATAGACGTAGAGGTTAGTCTGGAAGAACACATAGGTTAGGCACTTTTGTTTTTTTTTTATTTCCAAGCAGACGGAGTCGCGGGTGAAAGCTAGTCATTTAATATTAGTGAATTACACAATATAGAAATATTTATAATGTATAAAATAAATAAGGCAATACAATAATATGGAACATTTATATGATTTCTAGTACAAATGCAGAGTCATGTTACGTTCGCAGTATTGCACGCCCAATGGTAAAGCGCGGCGTACACTGATGAAGTCGACATATGGAAGCTTTGTTATAGCGCACACCTCCCGACCGAATCCAAGCTCGCATCTGTCGGACATGCGCACACCCACAAATATGCGTATTGTATACTTTGCCTTTATATTTGATTGCCTTATCCAGTCAGAAAAATTGGGGAATAATGTCAATTTGGCATTAAAGTTTAATAAAATTAAAATTATCGTTTATTTCTACAGCTATTTAACAGTGTTCTTTAAAAAAAAACAGTATTAAATCTATACTATTATAATAAAGCATAAACACACACTTATTTGTTGCCTAAGATGTCAGCAATTACAGCATATTTTTGAATAATTCTTTTTTTAATAAAAAGCCCTACACTTACGTCACACCTTACGCTATATATTTTTACGCCATTAAACTTAGGGGGTAAATATTTTGGATAAAAACCCTAATGTGGGAAAGAGACCATAAGTTGCTGCCAACATCAAGGAAGCAAGGTTGCCATGGTTTGTCATGTCATGTCATTTTAACATTTGCAATTGACAATTTGATACATGTAAACAATAAAATAATTTTATGCTGATGAAATCACACGGGAACAGTTAGTCATTTTATAAAAGAGTACATATTCTGAAATTGTCAAAACGCCTAGGTTTACTGCAACAAACTTTGTTTTTAACATTGTAATTTACTCTAACATTTCTCGAAGGTTTAATCAATTTTTTTTAAAGCCGTTTTAGCTATAAATTATATTGTTTCTTACATTTGTATTTTTTGTTCAATGAAATAAATTAATAATTATATCGTTACAATACAGGAATTTCATACTCCCCTGATATTTTTTTAGTTTTTAAGTCAAGCTATAAATCATAATTTTAACAATATCAAGTGTCCATGAAAAATAAACAAATATTTCCTACCGCTAATGGGTCATATTATAGTAAACCCATTAAGGTCTAATATGTCTAAATATTTCCAAACCAGTAAACATTACAAAATAAACACGACTTAACGGGTTACAATAAAATGTAACAAATAAATATTTAATAACCAGATTAAGCGCACCAAGTCGACCTCGCCGCGTACAACTTTTAAATAAAACTTAACTTCAATTTCACACTGAATTCCAAAATCAATTTCTATTGGATCCCTTTTTAAAAAAACATTTCATAACGTCATAAAGCACAACCATCATCTAGTTCAAAATTGAATTGTACCATATCAATCTTAAGGTTGTTTATCGAATATTAAACTGACAAAAACATTGAAAACCATTCATTAGTATGTCAGTTGAAAATGATTTCAAAACGAAACTCGTGCGCCCTTCCGTGTATGGTGTTAGAACACATTTTTGTTAACCGTAATTCGGCTTACATTTTCGTCATACCGTGTCGCTGACAATACCACACCATTAATCTTGCGAAATCAATCGATGGCTCATTCAGAATACTGTATTCGGTTTTACCGCGGTGCCTTTTCGTTCGATGTTTACTTTAGATCTTTTTGCTTAATTTATTACTCACGTTCCAAAAAAATCTACATCTGTCGGTGGCATTGTAAACGAAATATTTTTAATTTTTTACAAGACGGTAGGTAACTACTGCGAGTCTCCGCGAGTCCGCTTTCTGAAGAAAAAAAATATAATTTTATTACAGGAGTCATAAAACAATAAAGCACTTTCTAAGTATAAAGCTTTCGGCGCGTCTTTGAAAACGACGGTGAGTTGCTAGTTGTAAATCCTTTTTTACCTGCTCCTGGTATTTGCAAATATTTTCTATAATAAATTTAGATATTGCAAAAAAATATTGCTTTATGGATGCCGACAGACAAAAACAATAGTCAAGAATTTCGACTTATAAACATGAGAATCGCTATACGCGTATACGCGTAATACGCGTTTGTATTTAAAAAAGGCAAGTACAAGATGTTTGAAAAAGTTTAATCTTTTAGTTAAAATACTACGACCTTAGATTTTTCCTTGTAAAAATCTAATTATTATTCCGAAGTGTACACGTCTACAAGTCAAACAGTTTACACGCTCTCACTTCACGGTTAACAATTGAATAATTATCGAGCAAGCATTGTCTCACTTCATTATTTTGTCAACTGTATGCCTGTTGACAGTTAAAGTGGTAAATTTGAAGATTTATTACCCTTACGGAACGGGATCCGGGCGAGACGAGACCTTAAGTACCGTTCGGAAAGCCCTTCTTACTTGAAATTGGCACCACAACTTGTAAATGAGAACAACAATTGATCTTAAAATTAAAATCGAACTCCAATTGAATTACAAATATTCATAAAGAAACAATAATAACAACAAACCGATAATTTCTTGATTAAAATTAATTAATTTTAATGTTCCTCTTATCTGTATATTTATTAATTTAATAAGTCTTCTAATACTTTCTTAAATATAAAACTCGTTTGAACATTATTATTTTTCATTTTAAATTTAACTTCTCTACATAGATACATTCAAATAAAGTTTTTATTTACCAGCAAAATTCTTTAGTAACCAAACCCTTCATTTCGCAAAACAATTCAGTCATTTCGCACAACTTATAAAGTTTTAAAAGGATTAAAAAATAACAATAACATAAAAAATCGCCTTATACTTCTTTAGCAAAAGCGACAAAAGTAAAACAATATGAGCGGCAACTCTTAAAGACTCTGTTTACAAAATAGAGATAATAAAGTCTTTGACAATTATTGACGGTAATAAAACTTCTGAAAGTAGTTTTCTATGAATTCAACATTGCCTTTTTAGTTGTTTTTTGAATTGTTACAAAGAAACACAATGATTGTAATCAAAAGGAGTCTTATACAAAATTTTCCTTGAAAAACAAAGAAGTATCGCCGATATTCGAAATACAAGTAACAAGGTCTGTCGCCAAACAACTAAATTCCGATCTTTATTTTTTTAGTTAAAATAACGTCTAGTTTGAAAACAACGACTATATAAATAGCTTTAGTGTAGAATTACAATGATGTAATAATAATAATTGTCAGAATAATGGTTGATTTCTTGCAGTAATCATCTTTATAGGTCAGATAGCATGCCTACGTGGTCAAATCCCATCATAAACCCCATAAACGTCGATTTCAGCAAACAAACAGCTCCCGGTCAGCTGGCCGCGTGTAATCTCTCGCTGTGGTATTATACAACGATACCATGTTTAGGATTGACGCACACTGAAACAAAGTCATAGA